ATGATACATGTTTATAATTGAATCCTATACTCATTGAACGATCGTTGTATAACTATTATTTTGAGGTAGATTTTGCAATGCACTTGTTACGTGATGAATTTTTATTAATAGTTCTTGTGAAATGAATTGCTCAAGGGATTCATAAGATTTTTCTGTTTTACAAAATGGCAATGAGAATAATAATGTAATGCAGATAAATAATATACTGATGTCTCTTTGTATATTCTGAGACTGTGTTTAATTTTTAGGTTTACTACTCAGTGCATTATCGATGATTCCTACTAATGAAGTTGATCTTACATTATACGAAAACATTGAAGTTTATCAAGATCTTAAAACAAATGCAATAGAAAAATTATCTTTTTTTGTTTTTGAAAAAGATTTCTAATGAAGTTACTCAACTTTTTTTTCTTTATTCATTATTATACGTCCAAATTCTGCTTCAATTGAATACTATATGATGAAATATTAAAAATGCCTCGGAATACATTGTGGATTGAGAAGAATTTATAATGTTTTCCATTACATATATAACATCTAACACCATCCGGGTGAAATTTTATTTCTCACTTATAAATATAATAGTCTATTATTAGATTTTCAAGCTTTTAAATGAATTTCTTTTCACTTTATGAAGAAAATTTAACGAATACTAAATAATTTTCTAATCCAAAAAAAAAATTCCTTTATGTCAACGTCATCAATTTCCTTGAAGTCAAAATAATAATGTAGAAAGAAAAAAAAACGCAAGACTATGTCGGTAATTAGTTTCTTCTTTGTATAGAACAAAAGAAGTCTAACAATCAGTAGGCCTTTATCAAGATGTCATATTCTTGTTTTCCGTTCTAGAAAAGTCGTTTGACATCTGTTAATACGTATATAAGTATTATGCATCTTTATTTTCTGGAAGTGATTTATAGAATTTATTAATAAATTATGTCTCAGAGATTATATTAAATCAAATTATTAATATCCTTGATTAGTATTGAAATAGATAATAATAATAACACATGATTAAATATTGTGTATAATCGTCTTGAATATCATTTTATGACAAAGTAATATTGTTTTTTGATGTAATTTTTGTATGTAAAATTCTAAAATAAGTTTATCTCTTCATAGAATAATAATTCATTCGTTGTTGAGAATTTGATATGTATTGATCTATTCATTTTTTAAATGTTTTTTTTTTTCATCGATTATCTTCGAACATCTGTTCTATTGCGAATAAAGACAATAGAATTATTTTTTGAATAGTTACACATGAAACTGCCAACGATATATTCAATTAATTTTGAAAGAAAGAATTTTCGTTCACGGTTCATGATCGCTAAGTATTTGATACGACATGGTTCATTGAAGCTATTATGTAAGTCATCAAAACATATAGCTTTATTTTATCAAAAGAAAACATTTGCGGAATATTTATATTTCAATGGAATAGCTATACTTAGACAGTGATGTCACTGCACTGAGCGTACTGACTGCAGTGACACACTGACATTGGTATTCACCGAACCAGTGCATATACTGACACTGACTGCACTGTCTGCACCAACATTGATGTTCACTGAATCAGTACATACACTGACACTGATTGCACTGGTTCTACTAACTGCACCGGCGTTGATGTTCACTGAGTCAATGGAAATCAGTATCAATACATCAGTGTTCCATTCTGCGTCAGTGCAACAAGTGCAGTCAGTGTATACAATGGTTCAGTGAACACCAATGTCGGTGCAGACAGTGCAGTCAGTGTCAGTGCCATCAGTGTACCGGTGAACACCAGTATGATTTTATCAGTGGTCAGTATACTGAAACTGCACATCCCTATCCGCATTCTGATAGTTTTAAAAAAAACAGAGTTATGATGAACGGTCTCAACTTTTCCTTTGAGCTTCATAACTTTGGGAGGGAAGGGCATTTCAAGTCAGTAGATCTATCATTATGTGACGCTATGCTTCAGCTATCTATCATACAAATTTCGTAGAAGTTCGCCAACTCGTTCAAGAGCTATATTCATTTCACTATAACCATCGGTTTGTAAAAACCTATATATTTTCCTTTGAAGATCCATAACTCTGTGGTAGTTCAATGAATCGATCTAAAACTTTCAGATAAGCTTTCTCCATAGCGTGGTATTATTTCCTGAAAGTTTCAGAACCGTATATTGTACTGGAGAAAAATGACGCATTCGTGATCATTGTCTTACTGTCGAGATGTTGGAGACATTATTATTCTGCTAGATGAATTTATATTTTGGTTGAAGAAAGATCGTAGACTAAGCTTTCGTTTCCTATGAAAATATTTCGAATTTATCACGTATTTGATAAGAAACAGGGCAAACCCAAGGGGAAAACGACTGACTTAAGTGACTTTTAAATCATAAAAGTCAAAATAAAGTCACGAAAGTCAAAAAAGTCATGAATATCATAACTAATCCTTTTAGACCGGATGCTTCCATTTAAAAACATTTTGTCCTATAGGGGTACGGCATTTTTGAAATAACCGGCTGGAAGAGCTAAAGTAACATTAATAAAGAACAAAAAATAACGAATTTTTGTCAAGCGAGAAACGACTGACTTAAGTCACTTTAAAGTCACTTTAAGTCAGTTAAGTCAAGAAAGTCATTTTAAGTCAAAAGAAGTCAAGAAAGTCACGAAAAACATCTGTAAAGGATCATTAATAAAGAATAAAAAGCTGTAATTTTTTTTCAGTCTCGATGACACATACTCCAAATTTTTGTTTACTTTTTTTTCAAAGACATACGCATATAAAACAGACGAAACGAACAGATACATATATATTGCAGGCAAAGTTGGCATATCATTTTGAGAACTTCAGAGCTAACAAAAAACACAATAACGCAAACACAAATGGAGTTAAGAATGATGGTGAGAATGAAAGAGAAGATCTGAATGACATAATAGAAGTAATTATAGTGTGTGTAAAGGATTCTTAGCGAAGGTTAGTTTTTCAGTAAGATTATGATGTTATGCAATTATTCAGTCTGATTTTATCCTCAACTTCACTACACTTATTGAGATCTCTCATCTTCACTCAAATTTCGGTCCTCGGCATCACCATCATTCATGATGACGAGAGATAGACTAGATCAGAAAATTAAAGAGTTGTCAAGACCGAAACATAAAAACTTACTGGAACCAGACTGAAACCACGAACAGGAAAACAAGGTTTTTTGTTAAACTTTCCTTAATTTTTAGCAAACTAAGTTGTAAATTACATCATTTTCTTAATAAAATTGATCACATGAATAGTTGTTAGTTTATAAATTCCAAGATCCTAATAGTAAGGTTTCAAGATTGTGATGTTTTCTGAGACATGCTTTGAGTTATGGAAAACCTAATGATACAATTGGATAGAGATCATCGAATTGTACTTGAGATAAGAATAACAACATTGGAACAAGTCTCTGAATAAATCCTACCCGTAAATAGTCGAATTTGGATTCAATTTCTCCTACGTTTTTAATAGATCATGAGAGTAATGAGAGCAGAGATTAAAATTATGATTGTCTTCGCTGTTTATAAAGCTGAAGGGTGTCAATATTGAAAGTAACATTCGAATATAGCAAGATATATTGGTTTTAAGATAAATGACTTTCATAACTTTTAAAATCATCAAAGTCATTTTTAAGTCAATTAAGTCAAAAAAGTCAAAAGTCAGTCGTTTTCCCCTTGGGGCAAACCTCAACAGGTAGCCTTTTTTAGGTTGCGGAGCTCAAAGCAAAAATTGACATCATCCATCATAAGTTCGTTTTCTTTCAAGCAATCGGAGTGCAGATGGTGTCTCAGATATACATTCCTGGTGGAATATATACACACAAATTTTCAGACTGTTAGTCCTTATGGTGACTGAGATCTGAGGGGAGGGGAAAGACTTTTGTCGAAGGGTGTACTTATTATAGAAGATATAAAATGTGATCTACGTTTATCTTGAAAGCACTTTATAGAACTAATTTATATTTTCTTTTTACATAGAGTTTCAAATAGTCAGATCCGAAAAATATTTGCTATCATTCCAATATATGATAAAGTACTTATCAATGAATCTCATTTTCAATCATGAATCTTAAATTATTTCTATGAATAATACGCATAGCTCCAAGATTTTTTTTTAGAAAAAATATTAATCCGGGAAAATTTTCGAACATGTTTTGATAATAAATATATCTTTAGAATGTTAATTGATGTGTCAAACAAAAGTGCATATATATGAAGAGTTATTCTCTTTTTTGCTTGTAGAATCCTATTGTTGTTATCCTGCTACAGCATTCATTACTCACAGTTATGTTGTTTTCAACTAAATTGATAGTTCTTCTTAAAATTTATAGGCATTTTCTTTAAGTAGAACGAATTCACATCATTTAGTCGAGTTAATTTAAAGAATTGAATAGTGCTATATATCTTCGAATCGATATTTGAACATATAGCCTCAGTCTACAATGTAATTTATGCAACAGCTATGAAATATTGTAATATGTTAAAAATAAACGAATGCAGACTTCCATTGTTCTTTTTTCTACTTTATTTCATATATCTTGTTTTAACTATAGTTTGAAAAATAAATCTGTTTAAAGGCAATTATATAAATATATATATATATATATATATTTATTTAAAGAAAGTTTATTTAAAAAGAAAAGAAGACAATAGACAAAGAAAGTAATGATTGATAATTTATATTGTTGTCACGAGATTCTTGGTATCTTTAATTAATGCTGTTGAATAAATTTGTTCACATCATATTCACCACTATAACATTCATCATCATTATCAACTTGTTCAGAAAATGTATCAAGTATTGATTTTAATGTTTGTTTTTTATTTGTATTGCCTTTTTTCGTTGAATTATCTGTTAGTAATGATTGTCCTTTTGCTTCATCACCTAATGATATAAGATCAATTAAATTTGTGTCTTTTTCTAAATTAAATAAACTCGATGAATTATTATCCGATGCTAATACTGTATCAGCTAAATTTGTTTTAAATCGTTGAAGACTAAAATAAATAACGAGATGGAGAAAACAAAAAAAAAAAGAAAATCTAAAAAATACAAACTTCATAATTTTTTCTTCAATTGTATTTCGTGTTATTAATCGATAAACATTAACAACTTTTTTTTGTCCAATACGATGTGCACGATCCATAGCTTGAAGATCTTTACTTGGATTCCAATCATGTTCAACAAATATAACTGTATCAGCACCAGTTAAATTCAAACCAAGACCACCAATATGTGTTGTAAGTAATAAAAGGTCAATACTTGGATCTGAATTAAATAAATTAACTGTATTATAACGATCAATTGCATTCATTGAACTATCCAAACGAAGATAACTAACATTATCCATTGTTCTAAAAAAGAATGAAAATCAATTTAAAAAAAAATTCATTATCATTAATTTACCCAAGAACTTGATTAATAATTACGTCAATCATTACTTTCATTTGACAAAAAACTAATGCACGATGTGTTGATACAACAGCGTCTTTGGATAAACCGATACCACATTCAATTAATAACTCTCTGTTAAATGATAAAAAAATTAATTTTAGATTGTGATTTAAATGATTGGTACTTCAATAATCAATAGGTAATTACAAAATGGTCAGTTTATGACATATAACCGACAATAAAAATTACGAGGAGTTTTTTTTCCATTCGTATAAAATAGGGCATGGGTTTTCGTTTACACCTGCACCGATACATCCTTGTAATCATCATGCTCAGCTTCCAATTTATAAATAGTAACTTTTTTCGCTATCTGTCTGACATAGCAGATAAATACTTGCTCTACGTTAAAATCCATGACCCTTGGCTTTGCTGTATCTGTAATAAACTATTTCTCAGAATCGTAATTGGTAATGGCAAACAGCCGATCTGATCCGGTATAAATTTTTTCGAGTTTTTTTTCCAAAAAATTGATCATAGTAGTTTTTCCTTGGTAAATCATATCATTTTCACTAATATCAATGATTATTTCTATGCGGGAACGTATATTAGAATATATCTATGAAGTGATTATTCATCAAGATATGCTTAATATATTTTATCAACTCCTTTCGACATCAATTTATATTATCGGAACAAAATGAAACCATTATTCGTCATTGTAATTTATCATATATTTTCTTTTTGATTTCCGTATTATTTATACCATATCTTTCGCAGAGATATAAGCGATAACAAAGTAAATCTATTGTGAGAAGAAGAGTACATCGACAGCTAATTCATAATTTTTATGCCTGACAAACACTTAATTTGTGTACAAAACTAATATAGAATTTATAGTTCTATGAAATTTTCTGTTCATCGATAGATGTTGAGAAAGAGAAAATTCACGCTCTGGCAGGACTAAAAAGCAACATATCCGAAAACCTGCTAGATCGTTATAGACATATTAACATTTCTGTTACAGTCTGTCAGTAGGTTAAAAGAACGTTGGTATGTTTGTTGCTGTCACTGGAACAAGCTGAGGAAGATGAATTCTATTTTCTCACCATATACTTCAACAATCATAAATCATAAAAGTATTATAATAGTGAAACAGGAACCTTATGGTATTTCTGTACTGATTTCGAGGTAGGTTTGACTGTTATAGAATGAGAAAAATGAAAAACGGCTCATATTGGTCTGACAGGTATCGGTAAGGGAAAATTTCTGCTTGTTGCTATTCTAATATTTCTCCATTTTTCTGTAAAGTTCGTATAATGTCTTGACCATTCATTTTCAATTAATACTTCTGCTCGGTCAACATGATCAAATATAACTTCATCAACCGAATATTTTGATTTCTTTTTTCTTCTACAAGCTCATCATTTGATACATCACCTTCATCTTTTTTGCTCGTGGACTCTACGGTAAAATCAGAAGAAAAGCTAGAAGCAAATAGTACCTATATTTATGTCGTACATAGTATTTACGCAAGAAGTCAAATATTTTATTTCTTCAATATTATCTCATTATAAACTTACTTAAGAGCAAGTAATTTTCCTGATAATCGAATATCATTCAAACTAATTTGTGATTCTTTTAATTCATTCTGTACATTTAACCATTTTGGATGTTCAGGTGTTAAAATCAATGCTGGATGATTACATAATTTACGTAAATATTGTAATGCCTAATATATATATATAAAACAAACAAACGAAGAATTTTATCAATAAAGAAATTTTTTTGTTTTTTACCTTAAATACATGACCTGTTGCAGAACTTCCATTTTGATTTGTTGAATCATTATCAACATATTTAACTTGTTCTTTTGTTTTATTAGCAAAATCTTCATAAAGCATACATTGAATTGAACTTAAATCGCAATAATAATCTTGTAAAATTTTTGGTGGTAAATCATCTAATACATCGGATTTTAAACGACGTAACATAAATGGTTTAACTTGTTTATGTAAAACATCCATTGCTAATTGTCCTAAATAAAATTTAAAAATGAAAAAAATTTTATTATATCAAAGCTTTTGTTTTTACCATGTTCAAGATCACGATCCCGACTTGATGCTAATAATGGTTTTTGATAACGACGAATAAATTGTTTTTCTGAACCCAAATAACCCGGCATGAGAAAATCAAATAATTGCCAAAGTTCAAGTGCATTGTTTTGTATAGGCGTACCCGATAATATAAGACGATGAGCTATACATGACAAAAAAAAAAAATTATTATTTTTATGATGAAATTTTTTTTGTCTATGAAATAGACCTGCTGAGATCTGACGAATAGCTTTCGATAATTTTGTTTTAGAATTACGAATAACATGACCTTCATCAAGTACACAATAATTAAATGGAATAGTTCTATGTAAAAAAAAGAAAAATTATATTAAACAAACAAACAAAAAAAAGAAATATTTACGAAAAAAATCCTATGTCACTACGAATAACATCATATGAAGCAACAATAACTGTATATTCTTTTGGATTTTGTATATATTTATTTCGTAATCTAAATAATTTAAAATAAAAATAAAGAAATATAACAAAAGATAGTAAGAAATTATGAACCCTTCACGTTCAGCTAAATTTTTTCCAGAGTAGAGTAATGGACGAAGAATATCTTCACTAACAAATTTATTCATTTCACTTGTCCAATGTCGAGTTAAGGTTGGTGGTGAAATAACAAGTGATGGTCGAATTTCAAAATTCTATTAATATAAATAGAAATTTTTAAATAAATTTTGATCATTTATTCTTTTTTTGTTACAAACTTCTTTTTTTCGTTCAACAATATCAGAAGCAAGAACACAAATTGTTTGAAGTGTCTAATAGAAAAATCAGTATATAAGACAAGAAGAATAAAACAATCTTACTTTTCCTAAACCCATATCATCAGCAAGAACACACGATAAATTGTATCGTTTAAGAAACATTAACCAATTGATCCCATCCTATTAGAAATAAAATAATCAGTTTAAATCAAGTAAATGACAATATAAGAGGATAGTACGACAAGTTTTAAATATTTTCATCGTAGTAGTGCCGCTATGAGCCCGTTCACCTGCAATGCAGCTGCTTTTCAAGTACATTTCCTACGATATCATTTTTTAAACACGAATTTTTCTTTACTCAGAAGCCTATTTTTATTATCCATGATTAACAGTAACGTTAAGGTAAGCTGCCAGCAGCATGAGAAATCATTTACAGATCTGTATTTTGTAAATATAGTATTAATTAACATTGCTAAGTAATTCTTGATTTTTTTTTTATCATACTTACATGTTGATATGGTCGAATATCCGCTTTAACAGTCATTGGTAAATGATAAACAGGCATTTTTTTATTATCGAAAAGTTGTTCAAGAAAATTTTCATTTTCCGTACCGTTTGTATGTTCAATTGTTGTATCATCATTCTAAATTATAAGATATTATTGAATTTCTTTTTTTATATTTTCTTAAGTCATTCTTACATGTAAAGCATAATATTTAATAAGAACAGCAAAACAATTACTAGCTGTCGATCGTATATAAAAATCTTGATGTGTCATAGATTGAATACAAGGTAACATTAAATATTTTGCATAACGAATAATATTAAGTGCTTGTTTATCAATAACATCTAAAATAAAAAGAAAAAAATAAATTTCAAAAAAGAAAAATTTTTTCTTTGTTTTTCGTACGATATAAAGTTTCAATTGGTCCTTGTAAATAACTTGTATCCATATTTGTATTTGTTAATTTTGGCAGAATAGAATCAATAATAAATTGAAGTACATATTCAATTTTATGTATTGATAAAATACCAATACAACGTGCAGTTAAATAACGTATGACTGTATATTTTGATGATAAACATCGAGATAAATTAGGTAGAAGTTTAAGATACTAAAAATTAAAAAAAAAAAGATTAAAAACAAAAGAAAAAATTTGAATATAAATAATGATTTACATTATTTAAAATAGTTTCATGAACATGTGGAATGAGGATAGTAAGAATTTGAAGTGTATCTGCTAAACATTGAGCATCAGCCGTTGATTGTGTTTGACATAATTCTAAATAAAATGAGAAAAATTTTTATGCAATCCATATAATCTATGACGCGAAAGTCTTAGCATAAAATATTCACTTATTTAAAGACAACTGCTTAGATCTAGAAGCAGTTAGTTAGAATCGGACTTTTTTTCGTTCTTTCTGAATATCTGTCCAGAATTTATTTCTGCAGTAAAATTGAAAAACTATCATCAGATTGTTTCAAAAGGTCAAAAATAATGGTTGTACAGAAAACTATTTTAGGCAATTATTTATTTAAGCTGCTATGGCTGAGTGGTAACATTGTTCGATACGTATCCACAAGGTACTGTATGTAAACCTCAGTACTATCCGCTAGTCACAGCTGTAGGGAAGATATCAGACTAATGAATCTGTCGGAAGGCGCCACCGCATATCGTAAGGTAGCTGAAACGCAACGATATTCTTCCTCTTCTGCCAATTTAGTATTTCGATTGAAATTTATTAAATTCAAAATGCAAAACAATTTTTAATAGCTCAGTTTCGTAGAACAAAGTTTGCTATTTATTTTTCTATTTTATCTTGCATGACAGATTGTAAAATTTTTTTATTTTTCTTATAATGTCTCATTTTCAACAGAATTCAGTGCTCTACAATAATGTTGAGTTGAAACTATTTCAAAACATACACTACGTTAACCAAAGACCAGTATTTTATCCAGCATGAGGACAGTACCCCTTCGAAGATCGAGTGAACCCTCTTGGAGTTTTTGGTTATTATATTATGTGTCTACGATCCCAAAAATAGATGTTCGTCCTTCCGGAAGAGAAAATCTAGATAAATCACTGCTAAGGATTGTACCAAAATCGCTATTTTGTTTTGTATGAACATAATTTTGGATTTTTTTACAAAATTTACTGATAGTTATTCAATCTTATTCCAGAGAGAAAATCAAAACATATATTCGGAAATAGTGAAAAATTCTGTTTCTAACTGCCTACTTCTGGTCGTAACAAGCTGTCTTTTACTGGTTAAAAAAATGAGCGAATATTTTGTGACAAGACTTTCGCATTATATGTCAATAACACTCAACAAACCATCATTAAATTGTTCAATATCTATTACTGTTCGATTATATAAATCTGATAATTTTGATTGAAGTTCAGCACCAAATCGATGACAAATAGCAGATAGAGCACATTCACCACCATGTCTTGAATAATCATTATTATTTGGTGAATCAAAATTCTAAAGAAAAGACAATATATCTATATATAAATTTTATTATTTTTTTGTCAAATGATCATACAAATTTTTTAGCAGTCGAACTATTTGAAGAAGGTGTAGGTGTTGAATCAACTGATGAATCGCGATTTAGAGTATTTCTAGTTGTATCATCCTGGAATAATAGAAATTAAAAATGATTTAATTTCAGAAAAAAGAACACATTGTTTTTCTTTTTTATTTTACACTATTTGTTTTTTGCCAAGTATAAATGCCTCTTAAAATAGTACAATTATATCCTTCATTAACATTTAATAATATTTCAGTAGATTCTATTAAATATTAATAAATAAAATAAATATAATATTATGTGAAAATATTAAACCTGTAAAACGTGAGGAATTTGTAATATGTGGTGTCTCATCCGAATCAGCACAAACATAATTACATAAATTTTTAATTATTTTACCATTCGGATTAGGATTTGTTGTTCGTTGTGTACACTGCCAGATAAGATCTGCAACAGCATGAGCTGTATCATTCTAAAAAAAAAGATATATATCGATAAGATTTAGACATTCAGTTTGAATTAGTTATCTAAGATTTAAAGAAAGCTTTAAATTACATAATAGACTTAAAGAGCTATCGAAAAAAGAAATAGTGCTATACATTCAAATGATTAAGTTTTGCTAAACATAGAAAAATAAATTTTATGATCTGTTGTAGAGATGAAACCGGTATCGGTCACCAGCTGGCCCAGTACGGATCTCAGACCTGCCGATCATAGCTGGTGTGTCTTGTTTATTTTTTTGTTCTTATTATTTCATAGAAGATATGTAATGAAACTTTATTGAAAGTTGACTACTTTGCATATCATCATCTACAAATGGAATAGTACGACAACTTGTCAATTCAATGTCGATATGGATTTCAGACCGACAGGTCTGATCTACTTAGACCGGTTACATTTTTGATCTGTTGTATTTCTTCTTCTATTTCTTGAAAGATTAAATTAATAAAATGACATGTTTTTTGTAAAAGTTTCACTAAGCAATGATATTTAACAATATCTTACTTGAATCTGTGGATCTAATTCTTTTTTTAATGCATCCATTAATGGTCGAATGAGTGGATTGAGTTGATCACCAAGAAAATGCCAATAAACACATGCTGATGCCAAATAAGCTGTTGATCTACATAAAATCCAACAATGTTTCGCCAATCAGACATACGTCAGGAGTAAATCTCGAAGCAGAGACTATACGTATCCAGGGTTCCCGATTAGGGGAGAGCAGGTAGGAGCTTCTCCTCTCCCATCCCAAACAAAAATTTCAGACTTTCTGCCAAAGCTTTTTATAAAACTTTATGCGACAATTTCAAATTTCAGTTCAGCAGAAAGCTTCTGCATTTGCTGGAATAAAATTAAACCAAAGATGCTTTCTGCCTAATTTCTCACAGAAAAATCCACTCTATTTCTGCTAAATTTCTTGCAGAAAATCGATGTTATTTCTGTCAAAATTTTCGCAGAAAGTCGAGTATTTCTGAGAAGTTTCTCGCAGAAAGTCGACTATTTCTCTCAAATTTCTCACAGAAAGTCAATGTCATTTTTAGCAAATTTCTTGCAGAAAGAAGACTTTTTTTTACAAAAATATCGACTTTCTGCGAAAAAATGATAGACTTTCTGCCAAATTATTAGCCTCCCCCCACTCCCAAAAATAATCGGTAATCCTGTACGTATCCTAAGCTTCGCCTGCCTTTGGACGAATGTTAGCTGACGATGAAACCACTCCAGATGCTCCCTTCTGATTACGAGATCATCTTATAGGATTCAAGTGTTAGGCAAAAGTCGTACTTTTGAATTTTATCTTAAAACTACTTACATTGAAAGGTCTCACATAGAGTAGCTTGTAGACTTTGTATCACCGAGTTATGAACTTCTCAAAAATACACCCTCTTCGAAATGTTCTGAATCATAGAACAGTATTTTGAAAAGTTTATATCTGAAAGACACGAAGTCAAAAAAAAACCGGAATTCTTCGTACAAGTTACTGTATATGAAACCTTCTAATAAAGGTTGTTTTAAGACAAAATTCAAAAGCACGATTTTCCCTAAAAATCTGCGTCCTACAGGGATCTCTGGCAAATAAACATTTGAAAAATTCAATATAGACAAAAAAAACTATTAAAATCAGACGGAGACACCAACAGAGATTCCCTCGTGAACCAAAGATAAAAATAGCAGATGTAGTAGAATTCATAGTCTGCTCGTGATTTCATTGAGTTCTATTTTCAATATTCATACTCCCTTTCTTCATATGACAGTATGTGGTTTAGACTCTTCTCACAGATTTGTAACAAACAAATCTTGAGTACTTTATTATATTGTCACTGTCTTTACTGGAACGATTTATTTTTCACATTCGTCTACAATGATCTATGTTATGCATATGCGCTAAGTATTTGGACGGTTATGTGTTGCTCGAGCAATCCTGCTTAAACGTGAATCCTTCCGAGTGGCAAGAAGGAAAAAGATCGATCCGCTCACTCAAACCATTGCAAATGATTTCTGTGACATATAAATTGATTATCAAATTATACTTCATTAAATTCATTAGCGATTATTAATATGAAAGCTATGAAATGCTATGTTGAATTTTCAGAGAAATTCTAGTGCAATCAGTCATTCTTCGTTTTTCTCTTGAAACCATTTCCTAGTCAATTATCATTTACTATAATAGATCACATTTTGCATTATGCTTTGCTCTTGTTTTGTTTTTCTTTAAGGATGCTGAATGCTATCTCTTTTCTTTCCTATATATCACTCCAACAGGTACATTGTTATTGAATAGTGGCTCCTTTAAGACCATTAAGATCTGAGGGTTAAACAAAATTCTATAATTTAAAATCTGCTATTTCTCTTTTAGTTGAAATTGGAGATCAAGGTACAACGAGATTTTTAAAAATTAAACTCTAATCTTGATTCCTAGGATAGTAAAGATTTAAATTTAAAACTGATATGTTAGATAAAGTCAATTTGATCTTAATTATTAACATATATTAAAAATTCTAACCTAAGTGCAAGTGTTTCTGATTCATTTTGTATTCGTTGAGCTTCATCACGAATATTTTGTTTTTGTCCATTTAATTGAATATGTGAATCAATATTTGAATGAACCTTATCACATAATTCAATAATATCATCAACTGAATGAAGTCTTTAAAAATAAAAATAAAAATAAAAATAATTATTAAATGAAAAATAAAACAAAAAAGAAATTAATGGAAATAAAATTTTGTATGAACTGGAACAAAGAATGTATTCGTTTATCTTTTGAATACAACCCAGAGAAGTTCATTGAATATTTTCTTTTTCGAGTTACACAAAACTTTAACGTCTAAGTTATTAAGAAAAAAATATAATAATAATCGACGTCAAAGGGAACGTGTCTCGATATTTTAATTACAGATTCATTTTTCTCTTTTTGTTTTTAAACTTACGCAATTGATTCAATTGATTGTGGATTACATAAGCGTTGTCTAGCACATTCATACATAAATGATGTAAAATCACGTTTAAGTTTAGTAAACGATGGTGCTATTTCATCAAAATAAAGTGTTTCATTTAATGCTTTATGAAAATGTTCTTGAAGAATATTTGTATTAATTGAAAAATCAATCATATTCTGAAAAAATATTAATTTAATAAAAATAAAAATAAAAAAATACAATTTACTTTTCCCCATTCACTAGTTATCATTCCAGCAACCATTCGTTGTACAGCTGAACGATAATTAAGACTTGTTATATAATTTAAAACACTATTTGATTGTTGTTGATCATAATGAATAAATAATTGACCAAGTAAACGTGCTGCTAAACGACGACATTTAATAACAGTACGATCTTGTTCTAATGGAGCGTCTTGATGACATACTGTAAAACCCATAGCTAAATATTGATGATTATTTATTGTCGAACTACTTAAATAACGTTTATCATCATTATTAAGTATTGTTGTTGTCTAGAAATAAATAATAAAAATGAAATATTAAGTAAAGAAATAAAAACACAAATTAAATTTTTTACTTGTGGAGTTTTCTCATCATTTAATAATAATGTTGAATTAATTGGCACTCTAGCTGGATGAACAGATAGACAAATCCATCGTTGATATGATGAAAATGTACATTGTCGAACAATACTATTCGATTGACAAAGAATATTCCATGTCTAGAAAGAATAAATTATTTGAAAAAGCTTGCTAGCGCAGTTCCTTTGGGGCTAAAATGTGGAACTCACAAATGTTTTTTTTAGGCTCATCATACAAATGCAAGATACATAAAGTGAAAAATCTCTAGAAGACTATAGTTATTTTCCAAAGATAGTCGATTACTATTCGCTCATTATTTTTCTTTTTCGTATTCCGTTATTCTTAAATTAACATTATTATTCTAACGATTGATACAATGGGCAAATAAGTATGTTGTACATATTTATTATATTTATAGCAGGTCTCAGCGCACTATTATATATTTCGAAAAGCTAGGAAACACTCATATTGATTATTCCTCAAACTTATAACTTGATCAGTTCACGCTTTTTTATGTGTCCTTGACGCTGCACAAAAATCAAAAGCTGTCCTATTTAGAACATTCATAAACTTATTTCAGCAATTCAAATTTCAGCGACAGCTTTGGAATGTCCAAGAGCTGTCTAAGTCTTGTCGTTAATACTGTTCAGCATTTTTTTTTCGTTACTAAGGAACTCTAGGAAATGAGTTGGAAGTCGAGGATTCGGGTTAGAGTCCATCGAATTCTATTCGCACCCGAACGCAGCTGAGTCCGAGTAGGGTTCGGATCAAGAAATTTTTGGACCCGATGGGCTCTAGTCCGGATCCAGAAAAACGTTGACTCACAGCTTCTTACATTGAGTGCATAGAGTATATTTATGCTTGATCTTGTTTACGTAAATACAACTTGAACTATGTCATACAGCTGAAGACTTTTGTATTATTGTTGATTTCACGATTTTTCCTGATGAATTTTGCTTATCAATGAATTGTTCAATTTCCTTTGCTTCTTAGCATAATGCGCTTTTCAACTAAGCAAAAACTTAATCGAGTGATGGAAAAGTGAACAATAAGAAATAACTGTACGCTGATATTTTTTCTGAGAGTGGTCAATAAATAGTTAAAACCTTGATTCTTCACTTGTCTATGTACACGAAGGATACCAGATATTGGTGAAAAACAACTCGGATCTGGCTCGATAAAAACGTGACCAATGAATGTTAACTCTTACCACCAGTTGCTTCAAGATGAGAGCCGTAAAAGCTTGACTTAAAACTTATTAAATTTTTCTCCGAAAAAACTCAACGTGAGTTCCACAAAAAAAAAACAAATTCTTAATTTGATATACTTGTTCAATTGATGTAAGAATTTTATCATCTGATTCGAGTATAGATCGTTCAAAAAGAAGACGAAATGTATGTTCAAGTACAGATAATTCTTCTGATGTGCACATATTTAATTTCGACTAGAATTTATAAAAGAAAAATATTTTTCCATAAAGAAATGAAATAAATAAAATTGTTTTTTGCTTGTTTACTTGACTAGCTTCAATAATTTTCATAACAGTTTGAATAGCAGCTAAACGAAATGGTAATGTATGATGACGACAAAATGGAAAAATTTTTGGTAGAACTTGAGCAAAAGATAATTTAAATCTTAAAATACAAAAAAAGAAAAATATTAATTAATGACAAAAACCAAAAATTCAATATTTTTTTTTTGTACTTTTCAGCTGAATTTGCTGCAAGTAATTTAGCAAGAAGATTCATAATTGAACTAGCTGCTGAATTAAGATCATCCATTGAATCAAGTAATGAGATAAGTTCACCAATTAAACCAGGTGCACAATCGAGGACAACCTTGAATTAACAAAAAAGAAAATCATTGAAATTTTATTTTTATTATTAACATCATACAGATTCATATTGAGTAACGAGTGGTAATAATGTTGCTGCGGCAGTTGAAACAACATCGTCAGATTCATCTCTCAGACATTGTCGTACAGCTTGGACACATGGGATTTGCATCTCGTTGGGTATTTCCTAAAATTTAACGAGTTTTTTTGTTTTCATTATAAATAAATAAATTTTGTTTTTGTTTTCTTTTTACTTTGAGTATATTGAATGTATATTTGAGCGTAAGTAATGCTCCATGTCGAATTTCCCAAGTACCATTGTGTTTGAGTAAATGTAAAAGAATTGAAATTAAAGATGAACATTGTGGTTGATCATGTAAACAACTACAAATAATACTTAAAGTTTGAGCGCCTGTTTCACGAATTGGTGCAACGACCTAGATCAATAGAACGAATGAAAAGAAAAAAAAAACATTTAAAGACTATTCATAATTTATTAAATTATCATCAATAATTTTTTTTATTATTAATAGTTTATAAACATAGTAGATTATATATTGAGTGAGAAAAAATTCTTCCAAAAAATATTAATTATCAATAATATTTAATTAACAATATTGACAATAATAAAACAATGTATTTTATCTAAGTCATTCTATTATGATTCTTTTCAAATCAGAAACTATAAATTAATACTTCTAAGAAATTTTGCAATAAATTGAAGAAAAAAAACTAGTTCGGTTTTGGTTCAATGGTTATCGGACTTTTCATAGAAGAAAAATTTCTTAATTTTATACTGTCGAATTTGATTTCTGAAATGGAATAATAAGATTAGATTCTTCATTTGGTAATGTTTATCGATTTGCGAACTTGTAATTATTCAATACTTTGATAAGTTGACTTATTGAATTTCCCATAGATTGGCATGGGTAATTGTATTTTTATATATCGTAAAAATTATACTTCTTCCATAGTAAGAAATCTTCTAACTTAAAATGAAAAAGATACTTTAATGTTATATGAATGATAATATAATTGATTTTGCTATCAGAAACATTCAATCGATCCAATATTTTCTTTGATCAAAAATATTTCTTGAGAAGAAATAGACTTGGTTTTTATTTATCAATTGTGATGATAGTTCAACAGTTACCTAGATTTTTTTCGAGATTTTTCTATAAATTTTATTATACATCTTATCATGAAACGGAGGGTATTATGATGAGAGTAGGCACGTGGTTGACGATAAGAGCGCGAATAACACTTAGGGCGAGAGATCAGATAAGAATTAAGACTGACATATCTTTCTTTTGATACAGGTCTAATGTATTATATGCTATCAATAGATGAATCCAGATCAATGCCGGTAGCTTCACTAAGATGTTCGAGTAAAAAAAAAAGAATCGGCCTTGTCCTTTACTTTGACAGCAGCGAAAATTTTTTCTTTTAGCGACAAGTTCTGCACCTCTGAGATCAACTGTTAAAAAAAGACTTAATCTTTAAATCGAAACTCTTTTTATTAAATTATCATGAAATTCTGATCGATTTAATTCTTTCATTCTTATTCTAGAATTCATAATTTTCGAATAAATTATATTCCTCCGTAAAGGATATACCAAAAAAAACAATAGAGGACATTAAACACGTTCGATGCACATATTTCACTAGCAGACTAAGGAAACAAATAACTCTTTTTCATCTTGAAATATGCTTACATCAGAAGGCTAGATGTCTAATATATACAAATATAACAGATATAAATAAAACAAATCTTTCTTTTTTGCCGATTTTTTTTGTTCTTGATCAATTTCTCTATAATATAAATAATATAATATCATTTCAAGATGGGTAATATATGGAAACCATTCGATAGAAAATATATGTAAACAAACATGAAGGTGAAAGTTATAGATTTATAACGTCGTCGACGTCGCAATCATTTGTTAGTATGAACTATCAACAAATGTCTTTGACTCGTGTTATTTTCGTCATTATTGTCTGTCTTGGATTTTCAATGATCAATAATTGTCTATCAATGGGTGAGATTCTTAAAAACTTATTTTCAAGTCAACATAATCATTCAGGCCTAGCTTGATCATCATCTCTAGTCATTCCATCAACAACAACAATCATAGATGACGATATTTCAAACATTACAACAACAACAACAATAACTTTTCCTACCACAATAATAAATGATACAAAAATTAATCAAACAGCAACACCAACACATATTTTACGTGTACGTATACGTGTACACAATTCCTTAATTGAAACATTAGTTCATCAAAAGCAATTAGATTTAATTGAAATTCAATTACAACAACGGCATATACCATATCGTCAAATACAAGATAATAAAGATGGTATAACAATTATTATTGGACCATATCATAAATCAATAAATTTTACAGCACCTATGATAATATTTAATCAATCACGGTTTCATAGAAATTTTACTAAAATGATATCAATTAAACATTCAATAATTAATGAAAAAAATGAAACAATTACAAAAATTCAATTAGATGAAAAAAGAATTCAACAAAAACATTTTCCAATAAGAGTTGAAGCACATGAATATAATCTTGTTCAAGATCAAGGTATTTGTCTTATCTTATTCTATTTTATATTGTTTTTCTTTTTTTTTATGTATTTTAGAATCATCTGAATTTCGTAATTGTCTCGAAGCATGTGATATTTATCAAGGCAATGAATTAAAACCTAATCATAATTGTATCCGAAAAAATTGTCTTAAAGAAATTACAGGCATTTAAAATAAATAAAACATTTTCTTTTTTTTATATTTAAATATATATATATATATATATAACTTACTTCATCAGAAACATAATCAGCAAAACGATCAAGAATAATTAATGTTAATAAACGAACACTTAAATCTTCAAGCCATTGAAAATAAAATTCATTCTATATTTAAAATAAATATTAATTTATAAAGCGACACAAAGAAAAAGATGATTTTAACAAACTGAAATTGATAATGATTGTTGTCCTTTGAGAAGATCTCGTAGAATAGTAACGGATCCATGTCGATATTCCCATGATGGTTGAAAGATTTGTTCAAGTAACCAATTATAAAAATCATTGAAAGGCCAACGTAATCGATTCTACAAATCATAAAGAAATATAAATTATTTATTTATTTGTAAAGAATTTAAAAATAAATTTCTTCAAGATTCGGTGTAATGCATTTATGGATTCTATGAAATAACATTGCTTTATGTTAATCATACCAGAGAACTATCCCTGTTGACAGTCGTGGTTTGAGTTCATATTCAACTTACAAGCAAGTCTCAATGAGACTAGCAAAAGCTTAAAAGAGTTCATCCCTATGGACCTTTGTCACCGAGTTATGTTAGATTTACTGAATTTTTGGCCCATTTAGATCTTCCGAAAATATCCAATAATAGAGTTTCAATCGAAAATTTTGCCTATAGATATCTATATTGACTCTTAGAATATCCTGAAATTTTCAACTGAGAAGAATGTTTCTTTGTTGAGTTATTAAGTTTTCAAGAGAACTCGATTTTTGTGGGATGTTCACAGCAAAGGACTTTTTTAGAAATGCAATATCTTGATGAAAGAACATTCCTTTCGGCTGAAACTTTCAAGATATTCTAGTGTCATTAAACCTATCTGCAGACAAATTTCTAGGTCGAAACTGTGTTATTTGATCTTCCAGGAACTAGCTACCAATTAGTCGATAATTTAGTAAATCGATCATACTTCGGTGCCAATGGTCCATGGAAACGAGTCCTTTTACATATTTTCTAGTTTTATTGGGACCTTGTTCTGAATTCCAACGGTGAGTTCTCTCGTTAGTGAATAACAGCATCAGGCAAGACGTTTTTTTTTCGTAAAATAAAGTTTAATCTTCTGATAGAAATTCGAATTCTTTTTTTTTTTCATAGCCGAAAGCATATTTACCATATTTGTCTTTCTGAATTTCTCTGCTCTTTTTCAAATAGCTGGAGAGCATCCTACGCACAACGAGGGACAAGCGATATGAAGAACGAGAAAAACGATACTGTCAAAAATAAACGCTTTGATTTCATTGTAAGTACGTCATTGTCATTTCTCGTGACTAGATATGTATGAGACTAAGTTTTTTTGACCCGGTTCCCGTCTAGAGAAAACTGTTCCACACTTTATTTGCATCACGTTTAAAAAAATCCTTCAATACTGGTTTTTTTATTTATTTAACCGACGACTAGCACTTCTTTAGGTCATCGCTTTTGAATTATGTTCAGATTGATATGATACGCAAGATCATTCGCTTAAAACTATGAAATATTCAACTATAATCTTTAGTTTCGATTAAAACAACTTTTCTTCTCGTAGTTTCGGTCTCCGTCTTAGCAAAATCTCTTTCCTGTGATCTCGACTACTGGAACCGGATCTAAAATTGGTTCGGTACATCTCTAGTTGTGACAAATGAACTAGAAATGTATAACTCTAACAGATTATAGGAATTTGAAGCTTTTTTCTCTGTTGCTTTGTATTCTCGAACATTTTCCTTTATAAAATAATGGTTCGATTTCGTTATTTCTCCTTCAACATATGAATCTTGGGTGAAAAAGTAAATCTCATATTTAGTAATTCGTATATAAGAATGTTCCTGCCTTCCAGCTACCTGTTGATGTGGAGTGCTGCTGAGCAGCACATTCAATAACTCAGTATCTTCCCTATAACTAATACTAGCTGTAGTTCTGAACAGAAGACCGTCGTGATCCAGAGTTCTTGCGCTCAATTGCTTAAGTTCTCCATGACGATTTCGTATACTTTAGGTTACGATTAAAAACTTAAATGTATTTATCAAAAAAAAAACTAGAGTTTAGCAGTGTTTTACCGAGATTTTATTTTTCGGAGAAGCGATTTCAGACTGCAGGAGGGTGAGCATGTATTTTTCGAAGCACAGACATATAACATGTAGTCTAATAACCACAAACTTCGGGGGAGTGGGGAAGCGCCTCCTCACTGGATAAAACAGTAGAGTTTAGGATCTTGCAAGCAACTTAACAAAACGTTCAAACAAGTTGGTTAAAATTCAATAACTCGAAAGAATTATAATAATAATAACAAGCAAGATAGGAATGTTTTGATCTCACCTCTTCATTTTCATCATTAGAATTCGATACTTTTATTCGTTTTGAAGATGTTGGTTCTGGTGAATGATCTTGTTCAATAATTGAATATTGTTCACCAAATACAAATCGTTGCAAATCAGCAGATGAAACCTTTATTCAAACACAAATAAAACAAATTTTCGAATAAAATCAATAACAACAATAATATAACTTTAACATACACATTTAACATTTGAATTATAACTATTTAATGATTCAATTTTAAAATCATTTTCTTCTACTGGCATATCTGTACCAGTTAAACGTTCTTGTAAACCAAAATTAAATTCTTTACGTACAAATTTCTTTTGTACAGATACATTTCCATCTAAGACATGAAAATTAATTAATCAAAAATCAATTTTATAATGTCAACAAACCATAATCGCCTATTTCTTCAATTTTACGTGCACCAAGATAAAATATTGAACTATTTGCAATAACATGATTGAAATTAAATGAATTTAATTTTAAACCATATCGTAAATTTTCATTGAATAAAACTATAAGAAATAACTTTCTCTTTCTTTTTTAAATTAAAAACTCCTAAAAAAAATTTCTACCAAAAAATTCATTGGATATATTTTTACTAATAAGTTCAATAGTTAAACCACATGCAATACGAACATCCCATGATGAATGTATAACATATTTTTTAAGCTTAAATAAAAAAAATTTCATTTATTAAAAATTATTTTTATTATCTCTTTTTTTTTGTTTTATTTACTTTATTAAGAATAGGTTCGACTTCTTTTGGATATGTACTAACTACTTGACCAATTTGTGTAGCAGCTGATCGTTTTACTGCTAATGAATCTCCAGTACCCAATAATGTCAATAGACGATCGAGTCTAATTCGATAAAATTTAAAAAAAAAAATGATCTTTAATTGTTAGAAATAAGAAAAAAACTATTATCACACCTGGAAGTCATTCTTCTTTTTAAAAGATAAATAATCAAAAATCTAGAAGAAAATTTGCAAAATCGACGTAAAGCAGCAGCAGATCGGTCGCTGTTTGTAAATCAAATATTGAAGAAGCATTTGTATTATTTGCTTGTGTTTTTTCTTGGGCTTTTATAGTGAGAGCAGACTCGCTTGTCTAACGTAGCTTTTGTCTCGAACAACGTTCGATGAATCATCTTCTATAAATACAATCAATAATTGGTTAATATTGTTTTCAACTATAACAGATGACGCTCTATACAAGAAACATTTTGTATTAATAAAAATAGTTCTATTTTAAAAGTTCGAAAATAAGTCTATTTCTAATGATTTATAAAATAAATTTGATATTCATATTCTAGCAATAGATGGAGATGTTCATCATTCTTATTACTTACAAACATCACAAATGGAATCTTCAATGAACCGTATTAAGTAGGATTGTTTGATGAAGTATTAACATTGCTGGATGAAATTTGATTATTTTACATACGCATCTGTCAGACAAAATAAAGATTGAGATAAACACAAATAGAGTTTTTAAAAGATTTAAGAATTTAAAAAAAGGTAACGGGATACAGAAATTTTCGATTTCTTCTTTGTACATAGTCAGTTAAGCCTCATATTTATGCTACATATACTAGGTGATACTAGTAAAAAGATATTACATATGTTCAGTTTTTAGGTGCACTAATTATCTTTCTGTTTGTCTGTAACTATAAGAGAAATTTGATGTTTTTCGAGTTCCATTTGACTTCCATAGTCTTGTCTGGTTAACCCGATCTATGAAAGGAATCCGATTTAATTACATTTTGTACTGATTTAGCCTAAAAGGGGTCAAAATTAATTAAATGGGATTCATTCCAGAGATCGAAATAAGCAAGCAATACCATGAAAATCGAATGAAACTCCAAGAGTATCGAATTTCTCATACAGTCACAGGCGAGGAGTAAGACATATTTGCACACCTTTGAAAAAGTTATTGGACTCAAAGGCTGATCATATGCTATAGTTTTGACTTGTATTACCTAGTATATGTGGCATAACTATGAAGCCGAACTGCCCATGTACAAAGAAGAAATTGAAAAAATTCTATGTTTCTTTACTTTTGGGCCATTTTATATTATATTCAACTTTAATTGAAGTCCAGTTAAATCCAATGAAGAAAAGTCTTCAAGTGATAAGTCGTTTTCAAGCTAGGACTATATTCAATCGATAGGGTTTAGTGAGTAAGTAAATATTTGTATAGCGTTTCGAGCTGCTGAGCCTTTGTTGCTAAGATTTTGAATATGAAGTGAATTTTTCCTGTAGAATTCCAATTTTCAAGTGAAATTATACTTTTGAATTTTGATCTGAAACTTAGATTACATAAAGGCACTGATTAGACTAGCTTCTAGAAAAAGTTTCAGAATTTTTTGACCAAATATCTTCGAGATATGAATCTTTGAAAATATCTACATTTTTTATAATAATCGTAGCAAAGTGCCTATATTTTAAAAAATTCGTATCTTGAAAAGGCTTGGTGAGAGAATTCTGAAATTTTTTTTCTACAAGCAATCTAGCAAGTGTCTTCATGTTAGCTAAGTTTTAGGTCAAAATTCAAAAGTATAATGTTGTTTGAAAACTAGGATCCTACAGGAAAAACCTACTAAAAATTCGACATCTCAGTAACAAAGGCGTAGCAGCTCGAATTACTCAGGAGTGTTTATTTATTCACTAGACCCTATCGATTGAATATAGTTCCAGCTTAAAAGCGATTCGTCACTCGGGAGGCTTCCTTCATAAGAAGTTGTAATGTTCGCGAGTGCTCTTAATTGAAATCTACTTTGCACTAGCAAGTTCCGACTCAAAAAAAAAGAAGGGTCTATACTTACAGTAAATAAAAATCTTTCGGAATTTCTGTGTGATATAAATTGATGAAAGTGTCTACTAGTAGATTAGATATGTTTCGAATGCACCACGATAAGTTGGCCAATTGCACACGCTAACGTACATAATTGACCAAGGAGCCATTGTAAGGCATCTTTGGGGCAATTAAGAGAAATGGTAATATATGTATTATAAACCTTAGTTCATGAGAAGTTAGAATAGTATTTCTTTTGAATTAAACATCTTCAGAAGTTATTAAACGGCTCAAAGCAAAATAGATGCCTATTGAAGAAAATGTGCTAAAAATACATGCATTCTTTTGACATTAATTTTTATCGGTTTGTTCCCTCCATTTTTCATTATTCCAGTAATATAGGATATATGTTACTTTTGCTCATTTAATAATGTGGTCAAAGAAAAACAAATCAACACTTAATATGTCGTTCCATCTTCTCGCTCCATCACATGGTTAAACGACCAATTAAATGGTCCTACACAAAGAGGTAGACATTCGGTGAATTAGACTACATAATTGTCATACTAGGCACGATATTACTCTACTCGTATAGTTATTCTATCGGTGGCACTTCTGGAACCGCTGTAGAGGGTAAGGGGTTACGCTTATGCTTTTTTAGTAGTATTTTTTATTGATATTTATTTGTCTTGGAAGTTAACGTAGTTCATAGATGATATATAGAGTATAACCATATTATGTTTTTGAGTTATGTTGCAACCGAAAAAAAATACAGGGATTTTTTAGCTTGTGTATTTCCTTTTGTAGAATAGTGTCTTCTCTCGGAATTTAATTGTCGAAAAATTTAAAATGTTGATTTGTTTGTTGATAGAAAGTCATTGGCACATATATTACAATATGAATAAGTGAAAATAAATACTATGTCTAGTTCGAAAAAAAACTAGTACATGCTATGTTTCCTTAATACAAATGAAAATTATTTTGTGGTTTTGCGCCTAATGAAAAACAAATTCTGTATTAGTTTAATTTTTCCAAGGATATTTATATGTATATTGTTTCATGTTTACTTCTAATATTCAAGGAAAAACATTATAGACTTGCCATATAACCTTCCTAACAATGAGCTTTTAGTTAATTAAACTTTATTAGTAGAATTATGTTTTGCTATGACTTTCAAATATAAAAAAACCAATGTTTCCAATCATTTTATTTCTGTTGTGCATGAAAATTTTCATTGTTTGATCTTTGTTTATATTCGAGTTTTCTTTGCTTCAATGAAGAATGTTGAACACTGAATGTGAGTTGAAATAGCAACATTTGGCACTTTTTTCTTTTGAAATTTAACTGAATTAAGAACGTATAGTTCTATCGGACGAGTAAATAAAAGATGATTAATTGATCTCACAAGGGAACGTTTTCAACTGATCAATCGCTTTTGAATTCTGACTCAGTGCAAAAGATAGATTTCAGTGAAATATAAAAAGCATCAAATAGAATAAGTTCCCTGAGGCTTTCCGTCCAAAGTTATAGGCATTTTACTAGAGTTTTAACCTCTGGCATGATGTATACCAAACGATCAAATGATGATATTGCGACCTGAGATTTTGTTCGCAGATAGGGTTATTTGCCAGCAGAATGTCCTGAAAATTTCAGTTCAAAAGAATATTTCTTTTCCGAGATATTAATGTCATAAAAGTCACTTATATTTCATCAAAGATGCTAAGCTTTTGTTTTTTATGACTTTAATATCTCGGAAAAGAAACGTTCTTTCGAACTGAAAATTTCAGGGCATTCTACTAACAAATAGACCTGCATGTGAGTCAAATCTCAGAACGAAATATTCCTATTCGATATCTTGATATATACGATGTCAAATGCTAAAATTCTAGTAAACAGACTATAACTTCGGACGGAAGATCTAAGACAACTTATGCTATTTGAAGCTTTTTATATCTTACTATAGTTTTCTTATGCACTGAGTCCGAATTCCAAAGCTATTAATCAGTTGAAGACGCTTTCCCGTCAGTCTTATTTTAAAAATGTCAATAAACTATTCAAAAAGACGTTAGATTTAACGCTTTAGATATAACGATATATTGCTTTTTACTCTGATCGACTACAGATATACGATCGGTTTGATTCGGTTCCAAAAAACAAACCATAAACCGATTTCATCTTTGATCGATTGTAGTCGAATAGATCTGTTTATAAGATCTAGGAAATATTATTAATGAATCATAACGTATATAAATTGTTCAAGAATTTTTCTACTTAGTTGTTGTTCTCATTCACAAAAAAAAAATATAATCATGTATCAATAAGAAATTCCTATTCACATGCAATATGACAAAGTAGATGTTTCTATTTGACAACAATTTGATCTTCGTTTTTTTTTTTGAACATGTTTATCATATTCTAAATTGAAACGAGAAAATATTAATGAAAACATGCATGAACATGTTTTCATGTCGTTTAATTATAACTTTTTTGTCGGTTATTATAGATGATTTTCATAAAGAAAATTTTGTAAACAGTAGAAATAAATAAGTCAAACATGCAGCACGCTCATGATTCTATTCTAATGTTCTGTTAAAAATAAATTATTTATATGTCATGTAAAATTAATCGTTTTTAAACAATCGAAAGAATATTAAAGATCTATGCAATAGATCATTGATGTATAGAAACGTAATTGAGAGAAAGAAAAAAAGATGATCAAACATAAGCGCTTGATTATTATTAAAAAAAAACAAGCGTAAGGAAATTTATGTTTTTGTTGAAAGCCATAGATCCTTTTTGATTAAGTGCACGTCCAAATAGAAGGTTAAAAAATAAATTTTTTTTTCTAACGCAAATAAGTAATAAAAGCATGATAAATTTTTATAATATTAGTTTTTGATTAAGTTTATGAAAAGTAATATATCCAACAAATATGGATTTAAGACTTCCGTCACTGACAGCATGAGCCAAAAGAACATTTTTTGCTCTAAATTTCGCATTGACCTTAAAAAACCATAGAAAAACTCCGTGACTACTTTTCAATAATTGATACCCGAGAAAAAAAAAAGAAAAATTAATATTCGAATCCGTAGATATAAAGGTAGCCATTTAATTGAAAAGAAAAAAGTAATTATTTACTTTTGATTT